TAAAGGATTAGCCCTAGAATGAACTAAAGGTTTTTGAACCTCATATAGTCTGTAACAATGAGGATTTATGTGACCATACTCATAACAATAGTGACATCTCCAAGGTAAGGACTTTACTTTAGTAAAAGTTTTATGATGTCTACCAGGATGTTGTAACATGTGATTAGACATGGTGATCACTTTCTTTTTTTCAGAAGTAGTGAACTTCTCTATATGCATTTTATCTTGTTGATCTGGAGATTGATCATTATCACTTATATTTCCAACCCCTTTCACTAAATCAATCTTATTGTTCATCCTTCTCAAGGATTTGGTCATGTTTTCAAGTTTGGAATTCAAGAAAGTTACCTTATTTGAAGGATCAGACATAGAACACAAAAGTTTCTCCTTTTCAGTCTTTAATTGAGCCATGATTCTCCTATGATTTTCTTCTGTTTTACAACTTTCTTCACACCTAACACATGGTTCCTTGTAATACACAAACAAGTCTTCATATGGAACATTCTCATTACAGGATTCTACACCAGATTCCCATCTGCCAATGAGAGCAGTCACCTGTTTTTCTATCTCAACTTTAGACTCATCTTCTGATTCATCATCATCATCATCAGACCATGCTAAAGAAAAACCCTTCTTTTGTTTATTGAGAAAGGTGGGATATTATTACTTATTATGGTCAAAGCCTTCACATCCAAAATAATGGATACCTCTATCAAGACTGGATTTATCTTCAGTTCTAGTTTTCATCTGAAAATCAATTTTTTTGTTGATGTCAGATAAGTTGTTCTTGACATTTGGTTTTTCCCTTCTGTCCAATCTCTTCAGCACTTGATTAAATTGCATCCCAGGTAGAACAATGGCATTTGACATTGCTTCCTCAGTTTCTAGGTCACATTTACTTTCTTACACTTCAGTGTTGGAAACAAAAGTTATGCTTTTGTTTTTCTTCTCAGAGTTTCCACTGATAGCTAATTCAAATGTTTGAGCCACTTCAAAAATTTCAAACATGATAGCTAAAACAAATGTTTGTGTCATCTAAAATTGGTGGTCTGTTGTTAAATCCCCCTTCCTTGTCCATGGTGCCATAAAGTAACTTTCCTAGAGATCACCCTAACTAGAACACGGTGCCTGCTCTGATGCCAATTGAAATTCTGGCACACAGATTCCAAATGTCAAACCAGATGTTGCGACACTGGGATCAAATCAGTAAACACAACAGAAACAATTATGCAAATAAGATGAGTTGTAGAAAGTAAATAACACCAGTAATTGTTAATCCAGTTTGGTGCAGCTTCACCTACATCTAGGGGCTACCAAGCCAGGGAGGAAATCAACTAAAATAGAATTAGTTTGAAGCTTTAAAAAACCTCTTGCTTACAACTTTATCTCCTAATCTCTACCCGTGCAATTTCTATCTAAGGCCCACCTAGATATGAGACCCTTCTCACTTCCCAATAGTCACAACCCTGTGATAAACCCTTAACGATAACCAAAAGAAAGAAGACACTCTTCAAAGACAAAATTAGTTCTGCTTAAAAGCTTTTGACTGATGAACAAAAGGTAACTTGAACTGCAATCCACTCTTTCTTAAAAGCTTATGAGTGATTGACAAACTAAATAGTCCACCTCTAATATCAAAAGATAATAGAGAGGATCAAAATGAACAAAGACAAACTAAAAACCCTAAACCCTTATCTCATGCATAATGTTTTTTCCACGTCTTCTTCAAGAGCTTTAGGTTTGGAATGTCTTCTTAAATAGACTCTTACAATCATGGGCTTGGAATCTTCACGAAAATCCAATCTTCCAACTATAAATCAATTGCAAAATATTTTCCACAATAATAGGAACTAAAAAATAAAGTTTCCTAAAAAGCTCAAAGATCTATTTTATGAAACCTAAACAAAATTGTAAAGTTCCCAAAACATCCTTGCTTGGATGCGATGACATGAGAAACAAAAACATACAAAATCTTCAAATTTATTAATCCAAACTAAAAAGATTTAGAAACCAGAATTAAACTGATATTCTGGTATAACATGTTGCAACATCTGTCACAACGTCTGTCTTCAGTAATGTTTCATCAACATGTTAGAACATCTGTCCCAACATCATAGAACCATGTTTTAGAAAAATTTCTGTCAATCCTAAAACCATGGAACTTAAAAGATACATCCTAGTTAAAGTTATTTTAAGGAGAGGAAAACACTTTTAAAATTTTTAACGGTCTTTAGACCCATACTAACTATACCGTATAATAATATAAAAATAAGAAGGAAGAAAGAAACATAAATAAAACTTAGAATGTTATAAATAAACAAGCATGTACAATACCTATCTTTTCCATATCACAACAAAATAACATTAATGAAAATTAAACAAACATCTACACAAACATCACATGCAAAAACAAACAAAACAGTAAAATTTCGAAACAAACCCTAAACCACTATTTTGAAACAAAAATCAATAATGAAAAGAAAGTGACTTACCTAGAGTGATGTGACCAATATAAGATGCCTCCTCCTTTATTTTCTTTCCTTTTTTTTATTTTTTGTGTTTTGATTGCTTCAGACTCCCTTCATTTTTCTCTTTTGGTGCGAGTTTTTGCTTGGATTAATGCTGAAGGCTTATGGTTTTTAGAGTAAGTTTTGTCTTCAGTGTGAAGGCGAACCTTTTAGATTTTTTTTTTGTGAATTGTGAATGTTTTTCTATGTAAAATATTAGGGCTTTATATAGGAAAACATTAGGTTTATAAATTCAATTTGATTGTTCCTATTTAGGAAGAATCGAGATCTAATTGAGATTGATTTTATAGATTAGGATTGATTCAATAAATCAATCTTGTTTGATTTAGATTTGATTATGTAACTTAGGGCACTGACTGTGTAAATTAGGAAAACATCCATGGGCTTTCAATTTTGTAAATCAATCTTAATCCTCATCCAAATCAAGAAATATTATTCCTAATATAGACCAATCAATCCTAATTTATTTGTTATGATTTTTTTCCTAATTGAGAGACTCAAACCAAAAGTTTCCAAAAAAATCTACTTATTCCAGAAGATAAAATATAAAATAAAAACAAAACAAACAAAAGGAAATTCTTTTTATTTTTATTTTTTAATCAAAACAAATCTAATTAAAATATTTTTTTATTTATCATTATTAAATAAAAATCAAAATAAGTAGCTAAAATAAAATTTAAAGTAAATGATAAATTGCAATCAATAAGAGACAAGTATAACAAATCGGGAAAGATTCTGATTTTTATATTTTTTTGTGATTTTTGACAATTCTTGTGATAAAAAATGAATAAAAATAATAATAAAATGCCTATTTAGAAAATGAAAATAATATTAAAATATTTAGAAAGTCAACATTTGACTTTTTGTTGTTTTTTTTTACATTTTTATAAAATAACAAATTAAAAGAAATACAACAAAGTTTGAACTCCCGACCTTGCACTAGATGTCCATGCACATCTACCAACTCAACTGACTTACTCATATACATTTTTTTTATTTTTTTCTTCTTGAAATTCTTCAAAAAGAAAGATAGTAAAAAACATGCTAGCAAAATTTAGGGTACGACATATATATAGTGTAACATGTTACACATATAAAATTTGATTTTTGGATTTTGAGAAGTCGTGTCTTGAAAGTTTATGATGTATGAATATTGTGAAAACTTTAGAGATAAAGAGATGAGGGATTTTTGAGCATCTAAATTTTATACAAAATGATTTGGCAATTTATACCTTACTTCATGATCAATTCTTTTTTTATTTCCATGACATCCTAAAGCTTATGCAAACTTGTTTCTTGTCTTGAAGGCTTTTTGAATCTTGAACCTTTATTGAGAACTTTTTCCTTATTTGATAATCATCTGTCTTCCTCAAAACTATATTACAAGTTGAGCTTGTCTTCACAATATCCTCCTTTTGTATGGTGACAAATTTGTTTGATGTTTGTGTTTTTTTAAAAAGGCCCCCTAATTCTACATGTTTTTTGTATACCTTATTTTAATTGAGAAAGGGAGAAACCACATTACATATATACGTCCTTATCCCCCTTTTAACATTATCAAGAAGAAGGGAAATACATGTAAAAGAATAGTGTCATATCCTAAATTTGTCCGTCCTTAGTGCTACTATCAAATTTACTTTTGAACTTGAGTTTTAAAATTCCTTTGATTTAATTACATTAACATTTTTGGATTTTTATAAAATATTCACTTCCAAACCTATTTAAAAATATAATGATTTATTTCAGATCATTTGTATTTTTGAATAAACAAATACTTGCTCGTCTTCATGTACTTTCAATTTGCTTTGTATTTCAAATAAGTAATATAACACAGTTGGTAAAGAATTAAGCTCGGAAGTATGAGGTTGTGAGTTTGAATCTCTTTTGATGTACTTTTAACATTTGTTTTATTTTTTTTTGTTACTAATTTTCTTTCCTTTTTTGGAAATCGGGCTTTGGGTTTCTCTAGGTTTTTGGGCTAACTTACTTGCTAAGTATTTTAACCTAATTTCACTATATAAATAGGACTCATTGATGTCCTAATTTGACATCCCCAATTCATTAAGAATTTCACAATTGCACTGCATATCCATAATTCATAAACAATCACCAACACTCACACTATCAACAAATCAACAATCACACTCACACACCACTTGTTTACAAATTTATTTTCAATTTTTCTCTTCAAATTTTTTTGGTGTTATTGTTTTATTATTGACCGATGATTTCATATGAGTCCTTTTTAATTTCAATTTGGTTGCTATCTTAACCAAATGATGAATATCTAATGGTTCACTTTTTTTTAAATTTATATTCTTCTTCACAACAATTGCTCATCCAATATTATACCCACATAATTTTTAACACTCTTTATCTTATTGAAAATTATTGTTTATTTCAAGTGACAATAACAATTCACCTTGTACAAACCTACACACACTTGAAACACGGTACACCTACCTACAAAACACAAACCTAAAGATACTGCACAATACTATCTATCACCTTCATAACATCAACCTCCAAATCATTCCAATCCAAAATCACAGGCAAAACTCACCCCACAATTTCATAAGACCAACATGTAATGTTAACAATTTTAACAAGATCACACAACCTACAAAATCAAGCTCGCAACACCATGATCATATAATTATTGTTTCTTTCACTCTTGTTTTTTTTTTTTTGTTTTCCAGTTTTGCTTACAGAGAAGATGCTCCGAAACCCGACCACACCGTGCATCACTACTACACCATGCACCTGCGCCTTCACCGGATCCAGCGCTGTCAATCTTCATCAACACCAATCGCAAAACTCCTCCATTCGCGCCTCCCATTGAACTGATTGCAACAGTCGCTTCTGCTCCCTCACGCGGCTCATCCGACCAGAAGCCAACTTCCTCCGCAGATCCCGTCCTCCTCCTTCAGCCACGCCGATATCGGTCACATAGACACTTTTTGATTTTTGATTCTTGAGTATTTTGTTGTTAGATTGAAAAAAATGAGATTTGAAAAAGTAGAAAAACATACATCTCTCTTTGTTGTTTAATATCATTGTTGTTTAATATCAGAAGAGTTTCTCATTAAACTAATTCACATTAAATCTTTGGGTTATGTTGGCTTAGTTTTAAATCTGGCCAAGTGGTTTCATTTTCATTTTTAGCCTATTAGATTTATAATTTTCATTAAAAAAAATCATATATTAAGAAAATATGAAAATATGTTCGTTTTATAAATACAATAATAACACAAATAAACTTTGTATGTAAATTTAAATTTTTTTTCTTCTCTAATCGAATAAATTCAAATATTCTATAAATAATATGAGCTTCGAGTAATTAAATCTATCGACACATCGTCTATCAGTTTATTATTGAAAAATCAAACAATTAAAATTCACGTAATTCACTAAATAGTTCATTCAGGAGCGACACATGACAAATATTTGGCCACGATGAGGAGACTCAAGATTATTTTCGAAGTGAATTACGAATTGAAACTCTGATTTCTCATAAAAAATAGACATACGACTAAAAAAACCGTGACCAATTACAATAGATAATAAATCATATACAAGCATATATATATATATATATATATATATATATATATATATATATATATATATATATATATATATATATATATATATATATATATATATATATATATATATATATATATATATACACACACACACGTACACAATCACACACACATTCATCCACAATAATAAAACTAAATATAAAACAAAATACCTATACGTATAGGAAAACCAACATTACAATAAACCATGTCTAAATGTTACAACCAAATAACCACAAACGGACAATTTTTTAAGAAAAGCTAAAATAAAAATATGACAAAAAGGCAATAACTTTAGTTTTCATTGTCATTTTCATTATCATTTCCCTTATAATTTCCCTGTGAAATCCTCCTAAATTCCCCAAGAGTAATCCCTGCCATTTCATGATGGAGGTTTCCAAACTGCTCAGATGAAACTCCTTAAAGAAAGCGTTTCACCCATAATCATTTGGTTAGATGGAATAGATACATGAGGTGGTACATAAGGTTCAATAGATTTTCTATTTTCTATCCTAATGCTTGAAGATTCTTTCATTTTTATCAAAGTAAACACCCATCTTGTTGTTAACCGCGTCAGTGTTGATTTCAAATTTTGTTGGAGTCATTTCCACAGGGCATCAATTGTCTCTACATGACAATACTTAAATATCCTTGTGATGAACCTACACCTGGTTTTTCACCATGAGCTAACATATGGTGCATAATCCATGAGCCCAATTAATAGGAATATTATTCTTAAGAGCATACAACAACTACATTTCCACATCAGTAATCTGAAAATGGTTGGAAAATTTTCGGACCAGCAGATAGCACAAAAAATAGTGCAACCTTATATCATCAACAAAAAGATTTCCAATAGAACAAAGAGGACGTTCAGGAATAATACCACTAGTACGCTTTCTTTTCTTGTAAATCTGTAGTTCAGATGTGCGTTTTTTGGTATAGTAAAAAGATTTATTATCATAGTTTTTCCAAGTAGGTGCTTAATCAATTTGGATATTTTTTCCAATAAAAGGAATTCGCAAACATTCTCCTAATTGTGATGGGGTCAAGGAAATGAAATTTTTTTTAATAGAGGAAGTCAACTTAATTATTATACTTCAAACTCAAATTTCTTTCAAACACTATTACTAAGTCAGGGTAATATGATTCATAATCCAAAATTAAATCCTCTATCCGAGCTTCAAACAAGTCCGGCAATGTAAAACTAGATTGGGGAAAAGAGTTAAGGTTACCATAGTTTGGAGGTCAACTTTTTCTCATAGAATTGAGCCATGAATCTTCATTTTTATCTCTTTTTTGTTAGTAATCTTGAAATGTACAAAGCATGTTTCCTATTCCTTAAGGTGCTTGAAGATGTGACCTTTGGGTTTCCTTTTATTTGAGAACTCATGATACTGTAAGTTAATTTGATGAAAAGAAGATGAAGATTTTTGGTGAAAATAAGGCACAAGGATGATGAGACATGAAAGTTAGTGGTAGTGAAGGATAAAAAAACACAAGAAAGGGGATTTGAATTGGAGTTTTCAAAAATTAAGGCTATAAAACATGTTGGTTATCCTAGTTCATTTTGAACTCAACATTACTCTAATCTACCCGTCAATGTGATTTTGCCTCTCTCAATCGAGGTTTTAATCCACTAATAACAAATTATTACAAATTTACGAAGACAATTGTCAACATATTCTTGAGCTCAAACCACAACTTGGTTTCTCAAGGAATTACAAAAAATTGATTATACAATGTGTTTGAGTTTGCTTCTAACAAACTTTATCACAACTGTGATGTTTACACAAATTTAGCACAAAGGAATATTAAAGAGATAAGAAATATGAGAATATTTTTAATCATTTTTATTGGACTACATGAATATTTGATTCTTCTTCAGTCTTCTTTATATAGGAATTTGATCCAAGAGATCCGTTGGAGACATGTGTGATATTTCTGGAAGGTTGATGATTTGATGTTAATGTCCTTTCCGAAAATACAGATGTTGTTTCCAATCATAATTATTCAGCCATTACTTTCTTGATCCTATATTGATTGTCATTAACATGATGTTGATCTTCGGTCCTTTCAGAGTTTCTTGAGCTTGATTGCATGTAATCAGAACTTTGAATGTGACAGACACGTTGAAGTTTCTTTACTTTTCAGAAATTTCACTTATCAGAGTATAGCTTGCAGCTTGGTGCTTCAGAAGTTATAATATCATAACATCTTTTTTTTCCAGGAGTGTTACTTGAATTTGCTTCTAAGTTATACGCATATTCTGATCAAAGTTTCAGCGCGTGATTCAGACGTCAACTTCTATCCTTTTTCATCAGAACTTCTCTGTACATTTAATCAAATGATTAGAGAGCATAACTATTCTTCATAATAATCATGTAATTGTTATCATCAAAACTAATACTTATATCTAGAACCAAACTATGTTCTAACATGTAGATGTTGCAAATGGGGGCTGCTAGGGTTTGGGGCACCCTCACTTATAAGAGAGAGAGAAGATGAAAAATGTGTCAAATTACATTGAATCAACTTTTAAATATTTCAAAAAACATGTAGTTGTAATCGATTATACTTTGTGTGTAACATATTACATATCTGTTATGTAAAAAAAAAAGAAAAAGATCTAGGTGGTAATCGGTTACATGTTATGTAAATTTAAAACTTTTGAAAGTTTTATGCAGTTTTTGACTGATGTAGACTTGGTATAGCATGTAAGAGTACATATAAACATGGTATACCAAGTAAGAACATGATTTTGGCATGTAATTCACAATCCTTTTGATCGAACATATCTTTAATCAATAAATGTGTACCTTGAAATATTTGAAGAAACAAGATTAAACATAATACTTTTAAGACCATCATCTAATGACGTGGACGCATATATATTCTTTAAAAATCACCTTCCGTAAAAATTTAAAGTTTTATTCCGAGTTTGTAAAATAGTTATTTGAAAGAGGTTTTGTGAAATATCTGTCCATTGATTATGAGTGCCCATAAATGCTATTTCAACATCTCCTTGAAGAACATGATCTCTTAGGAAATGATGTCGAATGTGCATGTGTTTAGTTTGAGAATGCATGATTTTATTCTTTGTCAAGTTGATAGCACTTCTATTGTCACATTCTATGGGAATGCATCTTAGATTCAAGACATAATTGCAAAATTGTTTCTTTTACCATATTATATGACCACAACAACTTCCCGCCACAATGTATTCTACTTCTGTAGAACTAAGAGTAACACAAACCTTCTTTTTACATGACCATCAAATTGAAGACGCAAGAAACACAAGAAAATGGGTTTGAATTGGGTTTCAAGGAATACAAATTTTTGAAACCCAAACACCAAAGCTAGCTAATAGAAGAATAAAAATAAATAAACACAATTATTTTTATCTTGGTTCACTATTAATTAAGCTAATCCAGTCGACTCGCCAAGGCAGTTTTGCCTTTCTCAACAAGGACTTAATCTACTATAACCAAACTGATTTCAGAATCCAAACAAAGACTAATTGTTAATGTTTACAACCATAAAGACAAACTATCAATGTCTTCTTGAGAATCCTGACTATACCCTTGTCTCTCAAGAAACTATTAAGTCACTATTGAAATACAAGTTGTATGTTTACAAAGATGATTTTTGAAAGAAGATTACACATGATTGAAGTACATATAAAAAAGTGTTAAGATAAAGTTAATGAACAACAGTTCCTTGCTAGTAAGTTGATGAATAAAAGTTCCTTATTTTTACAAACTATATAAAAGATTTACAATGAAAGTTCAGCAGCGTCTCAACAAAATTATTAAGCAGAAAAGTTGTTTTCCAATTCTTCCAAGTCTTCCTTTTATAGCCAAAAAGAATTCAGTCGGAGGATAGAATATGAATACCAATTTTCCAACTTATCTTCTTGCATAACAGTTAGTGAGATGGTAGACATCATCGTCTCAATAGTACTGTACTTTCACCCAAAAAACAACATAGTGGGAGGAAGTTAAATTGTACAATTTCTCACGTAGAAAACGTTTTTAATCTTATCTTTTAATCTTCAGAGGATTCAGATAGTGTAAGAGTTGAA